TCCTCTTCGCATCTCTTACATTTCAGAATTATATTTAGAGAAGTGCACAGGAATTAAATTTTGACGTTTGCTACAGAACACTGTTATATAAATACTCTGCACCACCTGCCCAAGGGTCTATTGGTAAGGCTGCATCGTTGCATTTAATTAAACAGGCACAGGCAGCCCAAGGAAGGAGCACTAAACAGCATCCTAACCATCTTAGAAGTCCTCACTTGTCTCCCTATTAATTCTCACCCTGATCTTTTGCATAGCACTATCGCCAGGCTAATTAATCACAGGTGCGAGCACAAGCATTAATTGCAACAGTGACTCATTTTTTCTTGCCCGTGCCCAGCCATTTCTAGCCTATAGGAATGCAGCTACTCCCGTTACTTTTATAATTATTACAAATATAGAGCCAGCAACACGCACTACATTTTGTAGGCATTAAAAAAGACACGGAATTTGGCCCGAAGCATTAACAATCTGGTGCACATTCATGGGACTGATGAATGTATTTCACTGACAGTCAGAAAATGCATCTCCTGAATCATTTTAATTCAGGGAACCGTATGAGGATGAACGGTGAAACACAGGCTTTAGGAATCCAGCATCTGCAGTTCCTCTGGTCAACAAGTCCTGGCTGCTCGTGGCTTGTTGGGATTTACTCCCACAGGGCATGGCATCTCCAGATCAGGCTGTCCCTGGAAAATCATACAAGATGGCTCTCAAGTGTGTATCGCTGGGGTAAGAAGTGCTTCATCCTCTGAGTCTCAAGCTTGGGTTCTGTGAACTCTACTCACAGCCTTGCTGTCGGGATGAAAAGAAGGGAGGTGAACCTTTGGAGCATGGTGCGTGTCAGGGACTCCCAGCACGGCCAGAGCTGTTGGCAGACACTGAGAACAGGATGGCCACAATTCCAGACACAGGTCCTGCCTGGCCAGGCAGGCAGAGGGAGCACAGAGGAGCTGACGTCGCTGTAGCTTTTGCCACAGGGAGTTTGGAGCCACTCAGCTTGGTGCTGGGTGAGACAGTGCCTTCCCCTGGCACAGGATAATGCAGGGATGGAAACCAATGTGCTGCACAAGGGGTAGGAAAAACTGCTGACTGTGTCATGCTGAGAGATTAGATTATAAATGTATTAAATGACTAACGTGCATTATACATTCTTCCCAGGCCAAACCACCTGCATACACAATGTGTGGCTGTGATGTGGGGTTGACAGGTTCAGGCAAATGGTTCAGGACTAATTTTCAGTGTCAGACTGGCAGAATGTGTTCCAGACAGAGGGAGAGATGAAGCCAAAGCTGTGAAACACTGCTTTTTAGGGAGAAAACAAAGCTAAAATTTGAACAGCCATAAAAACACACAACCACAGTAAATATTTCTGCACAGGGACTGGGGAGATAAAGAAGTGGCTGAAGGAGAACTGAAGGTGAGCGCCCATTATTTACTGCTGCTGCTGATGAAGGAGTAAACCCCCACGTCATGTTTTCCTCCAGGACAACAAGAGCACCGGCCTGCTTCCCAGCCTGGCTAGCTGTTATGTTCCCCTCCTGGGGTGCGTTTTACGTGCTGCTTCAGTGCAGTGCCGCTCTGCTTTTAATTGTTCACAAGCACACAAAGCACATGGTGTTCTCCTGCACCACTGCTGCACTCCCAGCAGATCAGATGGAGAAGTTGCTTACCAAGACAGAGGTTTGGAGAGTAATATAAAAAAGATCTACAAGGGCTTGTGTTGTTGTTGTTGTTTTTAATATAATATACTTCCCTCTGCCTGCTTAAAAGCATAGGCTTGTTTGAACTTCCTAGGGAAGTCGGGAGCACTGAAGAGGAATTGGCAGGCTCCAATCTGGCTGCTTTTCCTTATTATGAGAAAATACACTCTTGTCTCATTGTCTAAGGGTATGAATTCCTCATCTCATATTGTGTTTGCACAGAAGCGTGAAATGTATCCTGAACACTGGTCTTCATCCACACTTCATAACGTGAGAACAACGAGGGCAGTGAGAATGGGAGCACTGCAGAAGTGGGGGAGCTGTGTGTGCGCCGAGGCTGCAGCTCTCGCGCTGCATTCACCATAGCCATGGCACTGAAAGGGAAGCAGTGGCACAATTCTTCTCCAGGATGCTGAGGAGCCCCATTCTGTGAGCTGTTGCCCCTGTGGGAAGCTCCCTCCTCCTTTTCCGTAAATGTTCCCCCTGCTGCCACTGAATCACCAAATAATCTGGAGACCCGTGGGAAGGGAATTAAATGGTGGTTATCACACTGCCACGTTCTGCTCATTTTATTTGTTTTAAATGACCATGAAAGCAAAGTGGGGAGAAAGAAAACACCCAAGTGGAAAGTTAATTGAGCTACTGAAATGTCTTTAAAGGAGCACTGTGATGCCTCAGCTCCCGCTGGTGGCATTTGCTCACATGAGTTGGCACCTGATGACGCAGTACGGATGGGACCCTCTCTCTACACAGCCCTTGCTGCAGGCTTGGAGCTGAGGACAAACTTCCTGTAAAGGTGAAATAAATGGAAAAAGACCTAAAGAAAGACCTAAAAGACCTAAATATGGAGACAGACTCAAGCAGAGATGAGGGAGGAGCTGCCCTGACCAACTGGCTGGAGATAGGAGCACAGAAAACCAAGATGTAGAAGGGCCAGTACCATGGTTTGGCACACAGCAAGACACCCACACCTGCAGGAGAAGGCAGGGTGGGCCCATGTGGGAAGAGGGGGCTCAAGGGAAGTGCTGTGGGAGCCCAGGATCTGACAGGGAACCTGTCGGACCTGCTGGATCAGCTGCACACGGGCTAATCTCCAAACAGAAGACAACTTGCTCCTGGCTTGTTATACCTGACAGCATTGCTTCCAGAGCTCCCAGGACCCAAAAACACCAGCAAGCAGCATGGGCGAGGCAGGGACACACATCCTACATCAGCCTGGATGATTAAAAGGGCAGCCAGGGATGGGAGGATGGTGCAGACTTTCCCTTTGCAACTCCTGCACCACTGATCTAGTGCACTAGATCAGCACTTTCTGGAAACTGCTGTATTGCCAGATGATGATTGGGCATCTGACAGGAGATGAATAAAGTCATTAAAGTTCTTATTTCTGGCTATAAAAAATAATAATAATGAAAAGCAGACAGAGATTGGGGAAGGGCTGCCCACAGCTTTCCCATGTTGCATTGAACTGAATAGAGAGAGAGAGCTATCTTCAGTTGTTTTCCCTTCTCATTTTCTCCTGTCTCCATGCCAAGAGCAATCAGTGTGAGATCAAGCATTTGGAGGATACCATGCTTAGTCAGAATCGTTCCTCAGTACCTGTCAGAGGGACTATCTGTTGTTTATTTCGCATGACCTTTTCCCACTGGCAGTGCCAGAGCTCCCCTGCCATAGTCCTCCATCAGAGCCTGCTGTGCTGAGCCAACCCCACCGTGAGTTCAGGACCCAGGGGTCTGCAAACCAGAGCAGCGCATGAAGGCCATGTCACCTTCTTTTAATGATGACTGTTCTGCCTCTAGCTCTGCAAGTGAGAGCTCCTGTTTCTGTGTCAAAGGCTGTCCCCCTTCTTCGTACTTCTTTCCCCAAAGGTACAAATGTGCCTGTGCTTTCAGGTCCTGTGTAGCTCAAGATCGAGATCTGAATATCAACTATTTCCTTTGTGCTCTGCTGTACCAGCCTGGGGATATTTGGCTGGGGCACTCTGAGCAGTTCGGAGACTTTGAGATACCACTTCTGTAGAGATTTGCTACACAGCTGCTGTCAGAAGAGCTGCCTCTGTCTTCACCTGTAGCAGTGACACCTCTCTGGTAAGTGCAGCCTCCTGCCAAGCAACACGTCCCAAAGTCAGGTATAGCTGCCTCGAATCTGCCTTAAAAGATTGAAAGGGATCTTTGGAAATGAATTGCAGCCCTCATCATCTGGGATCTAAATGAACACTGGGCTAGAGGTCCTGAACAACCCAAAGCACTTGAGGCCAGGATATCTTTCTGCCACATTGGCACCTGAAACTCCCTTAGTTTCAGATCCAGTGTTGACCGACATCCTGAGCAGTGCAGAACAGGTCCTGCACCGCTGGGAGCACTGACACCGACCTGCATGCAACTCATGCTCAGAAGCCTGCAGATTCAGCCCACTCTGGCAATCAGAGTAGCCCTGCTCTCCACTGAGTTGTAAGCTCCCAAGTGGCCTCTCTGCAAGAAAAGAAGCATTCAAAATGTGTATTCACATTGATGAGGTGGGCACAACCACTGAGAGGACACGTGGAATGGATGTCACTTCCTCTCCCCAGCAACTGCAGAAACAAAGTTGTGTTATCGTAGTGGATCTCAGCAGCTAGCTTCCAGACATGCCATACAACCAGGAACAAAAGGTCTTCTGAAATAACAGTGCCTCCAGCCCAGAAAACACTGCAGTCCACATGGGGAAACCTTCTACCGGACCTCTGAAGGCCAAAGAAGAGTTAACTGCAGTTCTAAAACCCAGCAAGTTGCCGGGATACCTTGGGGCACGATCTGGTTACACTTGTGCAAACAATCTGGCACCAGGCAGTGAGGCACACGCCTTTGCATTTAACATTTCTATTTTCCCAAGCCTTACCATCGGCTGTCGGCATAAAGGACTGGGAATATATGTTCAAGATAGAAAGCATTTCTAGAAACTGGCTATTCTTCAAAGGCATATTTACTGGATGTTCCACTAGCCACAATCCAATCAACGCACAGCAATATTACATTGGGCAAAAATATTTGGGATAAAAGAAGAATGAAAATCCTATTACCATTTTTCATTCTATATTTTTTATCAGCAATCTACATGACACTATAAAAATCCTTGTTGTGGCCAAGTCTGCAGATGCCAGCAAGACTGGCAGTAGGGAAACAACAAGCCCGACTGGACTATCAATACACAGCAATCTGAAGTGGCTGAGAGTTGGCCACAGTCCAGGAAAACTTGATTTAAGATTTAAAAAGTCAAATGCAGGGTAAGGCACCTGAAACCAGACATGCAGGTTACACTTACAGGATGCAGCCTCGGAAAGCAGTTGCCTTGAAGAGAATTTAGAGGACAAGCACAGATTGCATAGAAGGACTCGTCTGATCCCTCCACAGAAAGGGCAGGCACCAGCAGCAAGCATTCCTTCTTGTTCATGGCACCAGTGACTTCTGGAAAGCTGCGTCCAGTCTCTGTACCATCCTGTAAGGAGAAAGAGATAATAAAGAAGTCAGGCAAAGAGAAAAGAATGACCCAGGAGCTGTGTGCTGTGTGCTTCTGCAGGAGCCCAGTCCTGCTGGCTCACCAAAGATGTAGCTGAGAAGGGATCTGATTTCTGCTATGGGCACTCTTATGGGGAAAGGCAATTGTGGGGCTACTGTGGGAGAGGGATACCATGGTGCCTTTTCTAAGACAACTGCAAAAAGCTGGAAATGAGAAATTTCACCTTGAAAGAACACCCAACAGAAACAAGTGAAGGCCATTTAGTAATGGAAGCACTTGCTAGAGAACGAGGTGAAATTATGGGATTAACTGTTTTCCAGAAGCCACTCTTTCATTTGCCTTTTGGGAGAAATTTTATAGGCAGCTAGACAAAACAGGGCTGTTTTAAGCCCAGCTGGTCCCAGCGTCGTGCTCTTGCACAACACATTTGGGGTGACTGTTTCTCTGTATTTGAGGGAGTGAAGGAAGCATTGCAAGAAGACTTGGGCAGCCTGAAAGGTTTTGCTAGCTGCCTCCAACTCTGCACTACACTCTGGGGGATGCTTGCACTGCTTAAGCTTTTTGTCCTGTAAGTTATACGACCGTCTCTTCACAAATTAAGCAAACAGAGATTCCCTCCTGCAGAGCTGAAAATCTCAGTATCAATTTCTCCAGTTCTCACAAAATCCTCACCATTTTGGCTCTGGAGAAAATGCATAAAGAACCCCTGTCTGCTCTTAGTTACAGCTGGGGAGCTCTACAGACATCAGTGAGGTTTCATGGTGTAACAGAGCAGAAATCAGCTCAGCATGCTCATCTTCTCAAGCTAAGTCTGTCCTTCTGTTTCGATAGATTAGCACTTTGCCTGCATTTCTCCCTGCACAGTGATGCCAGCCTGGCCACAGCAACAGTGAGCAGCGAGCAGCAGGAGGCCCCGCTCCATCCAGCACCAGCTCCCAGATCTCTAACAGGGGCAGCTTTTGTTCTCCTGGTGCCTGTCTGATCTCTCCAGCCCTGACTAACAGCACTCTGCATTCCTCCTCCAGGGCCCCCTCCCCACGTAACTCCATGAAACAGTCTATTACTTTTCTATTTCAAATCCAGATCTGGCATCGGAGCAAAAATAAAAAGTGATCAATCATCACACTGATGCAGAAGGGTCTTTCTTCTCTCTCTCTCTCTCTCGGTTTTGTAAGCTGAACTGTCAAAAATGAAAATTCATCTTCTGTTTGAATACGCAGGGAACACGCAGAGTTGGGCAGTGTGATACAAGGAGTGTATTTTCCAATTAAAGTGAAAAATAATGCATTGAAGAGAATAAACTGATAATGCTAACGCTACCTGAACATCTTCCTGCTATGGGAGGTTGGAAACTTGTCACAGCTGCAGGGTGAACTACACCGCCACTATACCTGAACTACACTACCAGTCTGACATGCCCCACATGCACATCACCTCTTGGCTCCTAAATCTAAGTCTACAGTGGAACCAGGCAACTTTTCCAGTTGTAGACTGGATCTTGGGTGGGGTACCAAAAGCAAGTTCCTTCAGTAGATCTGAAGTCCGTCCAGACACTGCCATCCCCTCCCTCTGGGGCAGCAGCAGTGCTCATCACAGAACAAGCAACTTCCTGATTGCAAAGTAGAACTTCCCTGGAACAAAATGCATTTCAGAGCAAACACGTTAGAAAAAAGAGAAAAAAAACAGGCTGTGCATGTTCAGGTTAACTTTCCTTAGCCATTTCCAGCAATGAGATGCAGGGCTGATGTTCCTCCAGACTCCTCTCCATTTGTATGGGCTTGTGTTTTACTTAAGGCTAGGACAGCCCTTCTGACCTTACTGCATGTAGGTCCATGCTGCAGAACTAGATTCCTTTCAGACAAAACTAAATGACAAGATGTGCTCCAAAAATTCACCTAGCTGTCCCAGTTGCTAATGAATGTTCCAATCATAGCTAGTGGATCCCCCCAAAACGCACATAGCAGATTGGCACCAAATGCTGCATTCCCCAGATCTGCTGCACCTTGCTGCTTGCTAATGTGAGCACAACCACTACAAAGCCTCTCAAACTTCCCAGCAAGCACTGTAGCTCTCAGAACAAAGAATAGCCGGGGCTGAGGTTCAGGTAGAACCTCAGGTGTGTTCTCATGCCGGAGGCACTAAAGGAAACAAAAGGGCAGATGAATTTCTGTAAAGAAATTATCAGAAAGATTAAGGATTAGTCATTATTTTTGCATTTGATAAGTTATTGCAGCATTAATTTCCTGCAACCATTTTTTCTTAGGTGCTGTGTGTACAACCAAATTCTTTACAGGATCATATCAGGTACAATACTGACATGCTCAGATGACAGCTTCTGTAAGGTGTACTCATTCACTAGTTATTTTCCAATTATCCTGTAGCTGTGGTGTGATGAGTAATCTCGTACAGGGAGAGGAAACCTTAATTTGACTGCCCTGAAAGCAGGTTACTGTGATTTCTAATGAGTGTCAAACAACAACAAATCCTAACTGACCAAAATGGAAGGTAACTGGCTAGTGTCATGTCTAATTTCTCTAAACAATGGTATCATTAAATTCTCCTGCTATGGCTGATTTTGAATTGGCAATGAGAATGAGTTACGCCTGCTACAGAAGGATCTCATATTTCTCCTCTGGTTGTATCTTTGATGTATTTAACTTTATGGTTTCCATTTTAATATTTGTGCCCTTCTGTTAGTGATGACAGATGTCTGGAGATTTGTGGTTCAGCTTCTTGATGGCAGAGAAATCAGTAAATGCAGCACCTGGGTGTACTATCAGATGAACGGGTCACCTTAAATGTGTACTCTAAACCCAAATATAGGAGGTGGATATCCCTAAAAGATTGCAGAAAGATCGCATTACTTTCAAAAGCTGGTAGCAAAGCTGCAGGAAAGCACCGAGTTGTCTGTTGGACAGTTCAGCTGTCTCCTGCTCAGTGGAAGAAGAAGAAACACACTTCTTGCCCAGTGTGGCACAGTGTTGCCGAGACGTAATGAGGAGCACCTAGAAGCAGAGAGCCAGATGAATGTGAAGCTCAAACAATGGCTACGATAGGAATAAAATTTATACAGCCAAACACAGATACAGCTACGCTTCCACACTGTTACTATAGGCGAGGAAGAAAACGTGCACTATCTCTTCCCAGTTAGCTCATCTAGCGTGTCAGCAGGCTTGCACCAGAACAAGTAGTTTTTGTTCCTACCCAGTTCCTCCTCCTTTATCTGCAGGTAATCAGGAACAGCTGCATGCTTAGGTAAGCCCTTACTCAGACACATAAATATAAATTCTCTGAGATGTAATTGCTACATCAGCTACAAAGAGAATACATATTTTATGTCCTATAATAAAACACGACCAAACAGAATATGTATTTTATATACTACAATAAAGCACGGCTACCACAAGAACTTTCCAGTAAATGCTGCTGTGCAAACATTCACGGTGAGAACGCAAATAATCCCAAAGGGAAAGGAAGATTCTCGCTCCTCCTGCTGGTCACTGCTCACCCCCATTCCTCCAACGCACCTTGTGATAAAAGCTCCATCTCCAACAGTGCTGCCATTCCAGCTCTTACCTCCAGTTCTCAGTTAAAGCCACTGTGTCTGCCACGGAAAGATCCCAGCTCAGTCAAAATCATACTGAGGTTTTAGAGTCTACTTACAACACTGAGCAAGATTATACTGTCAAAAAGCAACTTCTTTGCAAAGAAAGACCACTAAGCCTTGCGTGATCCCCTTGGCTTTGTATCATGTGCAAAATTAAAGATCCTGCATGCTGTGGTGTTGCATTCATCTTTAATAACACTGTTAAAACACGTCAGCAGATGAATTTGCAGGACAAGTGCCTCATCCCTGCCGATTCCCACTGCTCACCCCAAGCCATAACTCTGTCCCCTGCCTGTATTTCAGCCTTTTTGATCGTGGTTTCTTTTAACCTACGTTCAGAAGGGAGTTGCACTATAATCCATCATGCAAAATTTTGTTCAAACAGTCTGGAAGACCAAATGGATTTACGCTACCTAGACTGATAGTTATTTCATTAGCATAAGGGATCAAATCAGCCTGACGTGATTTACCTGCAATGTATCCACGCTGACTCACACCTATTACAGTAAATTTGTTCTTTCTAAAAAAATCAGCTGCAAACTGGCTGCAAATGAAGGCATCTCAAAGATCTCCCTGAGAACAATGTTTATCTTGGATCTTTGCCTCCCGTTATGATTTCTGTTGTGATGCAGCGTACCCATTTTTGCATCGTTTTAGGAATGAACCAGAGGGTGTGGTACAACTGGGGAAAGAATTCTCTCTCCAAAGAGGGTTGCTACAGTCAAGGACACTTGATTTATTTCAGAGGCTTCAGCAGAAAGAATTAAACCTTGTATGAGACGCTCAAAATAAGCTTTTGTCTGATCTGGTTTTCTGTGGGCCCTGACGAAGCACTTTGTGTAAGGACAGCATGGCGTAGGAACATCAGTAAGGTCTTCCTTCAGTTCCCAACCACAACACCAACTTCTACATCAAACAAAACTATTTAAAAAAAAAGGCCTTTCCATAAACTATTCTCACTGTGGGAAGAAATTCCTGACATGTAACCTAAATCTTTTCCCACCCAATTCAAATGCATCATTTCTTGTCCTACCCCTGTCTGACAGGAGACTCAGGTACAATTAATATGTTTTCATACGCCAGGCAGAAAGACCTGTTGTTCCTTCCTCTAGGCCACAGAGAATTTTCTCTCAAATTAAACCTCCACTTCGCCTGCTCCACTCCTCGTTGGGGCCTACAGATTAGACAGGCTTTAAAATCACATTGAGGGATCTTGCTCTAGCAGGGCTTTCAGTGCAATTGCTTCTTGGGTTTTTTCGGAGGAAAGACTTCCTCGCAGGCACTGAGCTGAAGTCCAGAGAAATGAAGTCCTCTGACACACTCAGTCAGAACAGGCTTTCTCTTCCTTTTCTGTCTCTCCCAGGCA